TCAAACAAGCTTGACCTGACGCTTACCTTGAAGCCGGACGTCGCTCTGTGTGCTTGAGTGGAAATTCTGTTCTGTATTTAAGCTTACCCTTTCGGGTCTATTCCTAATAAGAAGTCCTAATCAAGTATACAAATATCAAGTGAACAATGATCCGTTATGGATCTTCTTGCATGCCAAGCGTCGTCTGCACTGTCGCATGAGCATCTTTAACGGTCCGCGCCCTGTCCCAGACGGTTAACGTGTCTTCCAAAGGTCGCTGAGTATTCCGCGAACTCATCCCAACCGCCACTGAGGGTTCGTACCGTAGATGGTCCGCTGAATGCGAATCCGGCCAGTCCATTATTAATAATAAGGACAGCCTGGATTCAGTGACATAGGGCCGTATCCGATATTTGTTGAAAACTCGGAGGTGACGCCGTCGAGTCCCTTGCACCTTGGCGTCTCCGTACATCACCCGACCGAGGGTTCGTCGCTTGAACAACTTGGGCGGTGTCACGTCTTTGTCGACGGGTGATAATCCGCAACCACGGAGAAATCACTACACCACACTGGTGTTGAGCATGAGCAACAGTGAGCTGATCCCGGAGTTTTGTTGCAGTTGCCTCGGCATCCTTCAATTTGTCACCTGGATCGACATAACAAGTGAATATGGGGTTACTAGCAGGAGACCAAAAAAGATCCACGTACTCGTGCGGCGGAGCTTGGATTCTAGCTCCGTTTGCGTTCGCTTGGCATCCGCCCACTCGGTAGTCGCCTTGTCACGCTGGAGTTCGGTGTCCGCCAGCTTTGCTTGGATCTCGTCGCGCATTTGAGTCACGCGTACGAATTCTTCAAGCGCGTAATCTCGCCCAGCAGAGGCCTTCTCGAGTGACTCCTTGGTATCTTTCAGTTCCTCCGATAGACGGGACAGAGCCCCATCCGGCGACGAGGGAGGTGGATTCGGCGCGGGGGGCCCTCCACGCGCCGACCCTAACGCAGATCCGCCATGGGTGGATCCCACATAGTCGTTAGTCACCACCTCTTCTTGGGTCAGGCGCAACTCGTCGCGGAGCCGATCCAAGCTCTCGTCCGCGGCCGCACTAGCAGTTTGGGAATCCACCAGATCCCGCTCGAGGTCATGGATCCGGGATTGGAGCTGGTGGATCTCGGATCCGGCGAGCGCCATCTCCCCAAGGAGGTGGTCGCTGTCGTCTCGCATGTCATCCCGCTGACGGGAGGCGCGATCCAGCCGTCCAGTCAAGTCGCGGATCTCTACCGCTTGATCGGCCAACAAGAGTCGCAGACTCTGCGAACGGGAGGCCGCACGGTGCTCCCACCCTGGATCTCCATAGCCTGGTCATGGACCTGGGCTCGCAAGGTTTGGAGTTGGGTGGCGTGCGAAGACGCAGCTTGGTCGCGAGCATCTTGGGCCGTCTGGAGCTCCGCCGTCAAGGTTTGCACCCGATCGGAAAGAACCTGGGCTAGAGCCCGCAGATCGGTGGGCGACAAAGAGGAGGGGCTGACCGGCGGAGTGGTGGATGGGGCCTTGCCCGGCGATTTGCTGGTACGCTTGGTGGGAGACATGTATCACGTAGAGGAGGAAGCGGTTGTGGATGCTGGTAGTGCAGGTCGTGATCGCTGTTGTGCAGCGCCAACCACGTACAGGAGGCGATTGTGGTGAAGTGCTTTCTCAAATAAAAGAGAATGGACCTAACGAGGGGTCACTATCCCGAATCAGTGACAAATTCAAGTGATTAGAGGGGATTCGAGTCGCCCGGCGCGGATGCAAGTTGCCTGAGGTGGATTAGACATGACGAGCAGCGCCCCGTATGAGACGACGATGGGTCTGGTATGAGCGATGTACGAGAAGGCAAGATCCACCATGACCTATCTCGGATCCACCCTTACCTGGATTCACTTAGATGGATACGGGATATACTATATATGGGTGGATCGAGTGTGGATCCTATGAAGGAATGGTGGTAGGTGTCATCTGAAGGTGGATCTAGTAGCCACGGCTAACAAGAAGTCAAGATCCACCGCGAGGTGTCCCGGATCCCATACTTCCGAGTTCGGATCCAAGGAGGGAGGATCCCGCATAGAAGGACCTGGATCCGGGATACAGGGATGATGGATACAGTGGATCTCGAACTTTCGTGGGAAAATGAAGATCACAGACGGCTGCAAGATGATGTTGGATGATTGGAGAGCTCAGATCCACGACGAGTGTACACTTACAGTGAAGTGGATCCAAGCGACCTGGATCCGGATGAGTGTACCCATAATAGGGTGACCATAATGATTACGCCATGAATCCGGTGGATCTGAGGATAATACAGCTCGGATGATGGGTCAAGGAGAGAAAGGACATGCAGCCGAGCCTGGTAAGGGATTTAACAGGTAAAAGACACAGAAGGTAGAAATCCAGACAGGTATAGGCTTAAGTATCAATACAGACCTCAATTTGCACAGTAACGCGCAAGTGCCTTCCTCCCCTCAAGGATCGGAACTCCATTGGCCGTACGAGCTAGAAGAAGGTTGGGAATTGCGAATCTAGTGTTGGTAGCGATAACTGGATAATACATTGGCCAGATCCTACAACCTAGTGAGCTTTCCCTTTACACGTGCAGATCAGACAGGTTAACCGGATTTACTACTTGGCCGGGTATACCCAAGAAGATCTCAACTCTCAAGATCCCGTCACAGGAGGCGGCAAGTACGACGCAAAGGAAACTACAAAAGCAAGGGAACACACCCGCAAGGCAACCCGACGGCCAGATCCACGATCTAGGCCCTGGATCCATAAACTCGAATATTCGCTTAGGATTCAGAACCAACTACGGACGCAGAGTGAAGATATTACCACTGCTGCTCCACCCCATCCCCACGTCTCGCCAAGACACTCAAGCTTCACCACTTGAACGCTTCGGAAGTTACCGAGAGAGCAAGATCCCGCCCTACCGACGGGTACACAAGGTGAGGAAAGTTCAGCAGAACACGGATCATCGGGAGACCCCCTCCTCGGTGTCTGGGCGCAGTTGGTAAGTTGGATCCAGCAATCTCGCTGATTTTGCTGGTCCCACTACACCACACTCTCGGAAGCTAGCTTCCTCTAGCGCAAGGTGCTGTGTGCCCCCGTCACAGTGGGTCAGGAGGAGGAGGATCGCTGATGTGAGTTGGTCATATTGCAGGGGGGGAAAGAAGGGTCCACAGGAAGGGTGTGGATCAGGAGGAATGGGTTATTTTTTTACAAAAGAGCGACGTTTTCGCGTGCAAGAAGTCCAGGGGGTTGTCGGTATAAGCCGATGGTATCGTATGAAGGGGGATACCTATTGGCGCCCCATCGCCTAGTGCGGACCGAATTCGGGTTCAAGTGTTCGGACCATATCGGTCTGATTATGACCCAACCATATGAGATGGATCCGGCTCAGATCCAAGCGCAGATTTGATTTAGATCCCAGGATGGATCTGGCTCCGATCCAGAAGTTGGCCCAGATCCAGATATGGATTTGGCTCAGATCCAAGGGTGGATCTATTCCAGATTCAGGTGTACGTCAGGAATCTGACATGGAGTCAATCAGGCAAACGAGTGCTAGGGAAGACGCAATCAAGTAACGATAAGTGGATTAGGAGAACTTGAACAAACGAGCTAGACCGATCCAGTTCACTGTCGCTAATTAAAAAAAAAGCTACCTCAAGCTGAGTCGCATAATACATGTATGTGGAAGACTATCACGTTAGTTTTCAAAAAGGTTATTGTGAATCTCGCCCAAATTTGCCGATTTGGGTGGGTTTGGCCAACCGACGGGCAATAAGCTCATTGATCGGATTGGTCAAAACACATTTCTTCCTGTCCTAATTTGATGGTATTGCTTGCAGCTAAAGATGGAGGAAGCCGTGACGAAACAGCAAGCGCATCAGAATACTGTCTTTCATTGCCTCTATGGCGTTTACTGTCTGGGGTACACGAAGCAAGAGCTCGCAAAGGTGTACAATAAGTCGGAGAAGACGATCCGAAACTGGATCAAAGTCTACGACGAGACTGGGACATACGAGCGTGATCAGAGTTCCGACAGTAGGAGATTCACTGCGTCTCACCGACAGTGGCTGTGTGATTTCTACGCCGCTCGACCGCTAGCGTATCTTGATGAAGCACAAGCGGCTTTCAAACGTGCTCATCGCATCGAAATGTCGAAGGCATCCGTATGGCGCATCATTGAGTGCGGACTAACGAGAAATGTGCTTGAGAGACGATCTATGCACATTAAGGAGTAGGACATCTTTCGCTTCGTTGAGGAGCTGAGTCATATTGACTGGTGCCACCACAATCTCGTGTTCCTGGACGAAGTGTCTTTTGATAATCGAGGGATGGTTCGGAAACGGGGGTATTCTCTAAAGGGGCATACTATTGCTATCCGAGGCGACTTTCAGCGCAAGCCCAGAGTATCAATTCTCGCATTTATTGGTGTGAGTGGTGTACTTGGCTACTATGATGTTCAAGGCACGTTTGATAGAGTCGAGTTCGTTAAGTGCTGCAAGGACTTCGCATATTCAGCAGATGGAAATGTACGCCAGTATCCGGGCTCTCATTCGGTATGGATTCTAGACGGCGCATCAATTCATAGAGACCCTGAAATCGTTCACTTCTTGAGAAGTATTGGGATTGTTCCCTTATTCCTGCCGTCATATTGCCCATTCTTCAATCCAATTGAGCTCCTATTTGGTTACATCAAGAAGGCATTCCAGAGGTACTACGTGGAATCGAGTAAGCGTGATCTCCTGCCGTTTGTCGTCGAAACCTTTCAACGCTTCAAAGACATCAGAATGGAGCGAATATTCGAGCACTGCGGATGGAAGGTTCAAGGAGATTTTGATCCTAGTGGTCCGATGTCGAAAGACTAGCGGCGAACGCCTCCATTAAGGAATGATTCGCTATCTCCTGAAGAAGACGAAGAAGGATTAGGATATATTGAAAGACGAGTATCACTTTAACTCAGCTAAAGAAGCACTAAATTAAAACACTACTCTTCGTGGTCGATGTCTTCTACATTTTCAATTCTCTCGAGGGGGTCTTCAACGTCGTTAATGGACGGCAGTGGGATGTCAGCGAGAAATATCTCGATGGTCGATTTTCTTTGCAGCAAGCGTTCCTTTTGACGGGTGATAAGCTGACGTTGAACTTCATTGTGTTGGGATTGAGCTTCGTTGTCAGCAAGAGATGCATTGACACAATCCAACGCCAAACGGGCAGACCGTGTGAGACTCGACAGGTGCCGGTCAACTTCCACCCCGGCGGGACGAAGCAGTCGCGCGATGTAATCCGGTGGAGCTCTCAATATCTCACGATTCCATGTCGATCGATCCATAGATCGAACAATGTTATTCGCCCACATTCGCCACACAATTGGGTCAGCCTGAAATGTTGCACGCCAAATTTCTTTCAGCTCTTCAACAACCTCCTGAAGCGAGCTTTCAGCTGCTGCGCCAGAGCGGTCGGTCTGTACCCGGCGAATACATGCTGTGAGAAACTCTTCGAGATCTTGTGCTTTCGCAATAGCTAGCCCATACTGGTAGATCATCAACTTCACAGTTTCGCCACGCGTTGAAGCAATCCAGCGATTCCAGGCCTGGCTATTCTTCGTGCTGTCAACTAGGTGACGACCGCTCTTAAACTGCATGACCTTGGACCATGCTTGCTCCAATGGTTCCTCGACAGACCAGGTACCATCACGCTTTACTGCTTGCCTCTTAACTCGGCAACTGAACTTGGTCCAGATCTTACGCATAATATCGTTAAATGTGGCACCATTCACAGCAAACACATCGGGGGCCTCACCCGATGTGTCACGTTGGCCAATCGTATTCTTGACGATTGGTTGGATGACTAGCTGAAGTCGATGCTGTGCTGCTGTTCGATGAGCCGAAGGTGATGCAGCGTTGGTTGCAGGCGATGCTTCATCTTGCAGACGTTGCGGCGGGGTTCTATCGCGTTGTGGATACGGCGATACCCGAGGCGAAGCACGATTACTGGTACGAGATCGTCCTAGATGCAGTAAACGTACCGAAGTAGTTAGTGCGTTAAGATCAAAAATATCAAAGGCTGAGCCAGCTCACGTGAAGCTGTAGACAATGCGGGAGACGATACCGCTACTCCTTCTGTGTAACGGGGTACGTAGCCCTAAGTGTACCCTGGTTACATGAAGTGTGACACTTCACACTTCAGGTGTATGACACGTCATACTCCGGGATATTTGGTACAAGGTACCAAGGTCGTTCAAAGCCAACCATTGGTCAAACGACATTGCATTTCTATAGGTAACTTATAGTTTGTATTAAACCCAAACTTTATCTACCTATAAATATACTCAGTTTACAATCTACCTTATTTAGGTCACTCCGCTTTCTTTTGAATAAAGAGGGGACCTGTGAACTGCCGTTCACTGAGAGTTTGTATACTCTCGGAAGATAACTTCCTCTAGCGCAAGGTGCTGTGTGACCCCGTCACACTTGGTACACTTGTAGTCAATCCACGCCACCGCGGGTAGACTACCTGAACCTCTCCGAAGTTCGTTGCCATGGATAGGAACGACTTCTCCCATATGAACGACTCTCAGTTCGAGTCGGTTCGGAAGATGGCAGGCATCTTCGGGATGGAGGCCCTGCAGAGCCTGGTGGTGTCAACACCGGCTGAGCAGCTCGAGCGCGTCAATGCGTTCGACGCGTACGAGCAGGGCCTCATCGCGCATGTGCGGGAGATCCTGCAGGCTCCGGCGGCGGAAGCAAATCCGCCTCACCCGAAGCCAATACGGCTGAAGATTAAGCCGTATGAAGGGAAGGAAGGCAAGAACCTTCACTTCTGGGTCCGAGAGGTAGAGCTCGCGATGGACGCGGCTCTGATCTCGACCGAGCAGCTGCGTGTTGCTTTTGCACTCTCCAACCTTAGCGTCCGTGCTAAGCGTTGGGTGTACACACGGGAAGCAACATCCCCTGGATGTTTCACATCCTGGGCTCAGCTGTGTGAACAGCTCCGAGCCGCGTTCCTCCCGGCGAACTACGAGTACCGCCAACGTTCGCGCTTCCTTTCGTGTAAACAAGGGAGGCGCGAGCTGCACGAGTATGTGCAAGAGATACGGGAGCTCACGGTGTCCCTAGTGGGGAACCCACTCAGCGAACACATCAAGATGACTGTGTTCATGGACGGCCTTCGAGTGGGCCCCGCACGCACTCAGCTTTTCCGGGTGCAGTCAAGCACGCTTGAAGAGGCGATTCAAGTGGCTCTTCAAGAAGAGTACAGCCATCGCCAGGCGCGTACGCCGGCCTCAGCATGGCCTGGGAGTTCCTTGTCGGCTCCCGGTCGAGCAAGCCCCAACGGACCAGTTCCCATGGAGCTAGGGTCCGCCGAACAGCGTGACATCCGCTGCTTCGGCTGCGGGAAGATGGTCCACTTCAAGCGCGACTGTCCCGCGGAAAGACTCCGCAGACGGTCCTTCCCCAAGCCCGTCCTCAAGGGTCGCTGGCAGAAGCCAGGATCCCGGGGACAGGGGAACGCCGGGAACCAGTAGGGGCGGGGCGCCCTACTGGGGAAGAACTAAGTCTTCGTGATGGGTGCGCGTGTGGCGCGTACCACGTAGACTTAGCCCCTGAGAGTCTTCGCACTCTCGAATCTGCGAAGAGCAGCGGCGGGTTGCTCGTAGTACACGGATGTGTACGGGGATACGATCATCCCTTTAGAATCTTGATCGATTCTGGGGCGTCGAAGAATTTCGCACGCCGCCAGACGGTTGCTTGCAACAGCAACAAGTTGTCCGATGCTTTGATAGAAAGCAAGGGCAACGGGACGGTGTCAGTGCGACTGGCCGACGGGAAGGTCGTCACTGTCCCCAACGTCCAAGTGGATCTGGCCGTCAAGTTTGGAGACTTTGACAGCCTCGAACAGCTCACTGTTCTCGATATGGATCCATATGATATGATCCTGGGTATGCCCTGGCTTGAGAAACACGAGCCCTGGATCGACTGGCGAGGCAACGCAATCGGTGCCAGCCGCCCTGCGCAGTCCGACAGAGCATTGGTGAGTCATGTTCCCACCTCTGTCAGGACCCGGGGCGCCCGCAAGGGCTGCCAGGGTACCAAAGCATCCGGCAGATGCTTGGGAGTCGTCGACGGATATGACGACTCCGAGGATGTTTTGATGGTGGCAGCGCCCAGAAGAGGCGTTGGCCAAGTGGGTAACTTAGGTCCACAGGCGGGTAGCTTAGTTCCGCAGACAGCTGCAGCTGTCACGAACACTGAGAACAGCGTGTTCAGAGTGGGTAACAGAGCTCCACTCACGGTCGCCCAGACCTTAACTGAAGAGGACGACGTCGGATACGCTTCCTGTGTGGGTAACACAGTGCCACACGCGGTCGCCCAGACCTTAACTGAAGAGGAAGGCGTCAAACACGCTTCCTGTGTGGGTAACACAGTGCCGCCCAGACCTTAACTGAAGAGGAAGGCGTCGAACACGCTTCATGTGTGGGTACCACGGTACCACACGAGGCCACGAGTGCCTCGGATGTCGTAGCGCCGACATCCCTAGACGTGGGCAGCAAAGCTTCACGTCACGGTCGCCGTCGTCAACGACGCCGCCGCCGCCTCAAGTCGAATCCGAACTTCGTTCAGATCGACGTCGCTTCAAGCGACTCGGAGTCCAGGGCCCGGGCTCCTCCGACGAGGCCGGTGGAAGAGTGTTGTCACATCTTCGATGGCGAGACCGGTTTACCCGTCAAGGCATCTGGTGTCCACTTGGAACCGTTGCCAGAGGTTGCAGAGATACTGAACCTCGAGGAAATGACGGCTGAGTCTTTCCTGACCAACCTCAAGGCTGGAGAGATTGCTGAGATGGTACTCATGAGACCTGAGACCACTCGGGAGGAGCTGAACTCCTCCTCTGACTTGGACGAGAACCTCCTGGAAGACCTGAACAAGCAGCGTCAGACGCGCTTGGGTTCTGAGATCCTTAAGAGCCCCAAGGATCCGGTGTATCCTTTGGTGACGGAGTATGCGGACGTGGTGAACAAACACCCACCGACCCAACTCCCACCGGATCGAGGCGTACGGCACGAGATGCTCTCCCGCGCGAACAGTGCGAGGTCATTGATGCCTTCTTTGCCGCGAAAGCGAAGGCAGGCATGGTGCGGGAGTCGAAATCCCCGCACTCGACGCCGACTTTCTGCGTTCGGAAGCCGAACGGAAAGTGGCGTCTGGTTCACGCTTATAACAAGCTGAACAACGCAACGGTGCCGGCCCAAACACCAATCCCACGAAAGGATGTGTTGTTGAACAACATGGCCGGGAGCGTACTGTACAGTGCGCTGGATTTGGTAGACGGATACTACCAAATCCTGATGCGAGAGAGCGACATCCCGCTCACCGCGGTAAGCACTCCAAGCGGCATGCTTTGGGAGTGGCTCGTCATGCCGCAGGGCTTGTCTAACGCCCCGGCGACGTTCAATCGCCTGGTGACGCAATTGTTCCGCCCTTTGCGTACCTTCGTACAGACGTACTTCGACGACATATTCGTCCATAGCCGTGCCGAAGGAGGCAAGACGGCCATGGAGGTGCATCTAGGACACCTCCGTCGAGTGCTGGACGTAATGCGAGCGAACAAGCTCATCGTTAACATCGACAAGTGCGTTTTCGCGTCACCAGAGATTAAAGTACTCGGTTGCTTCGTAAGCAACGTGGGCGTTCGGGCTGACCCACACAAGGTCAAGGCCATAGCAGCATGGCCGACGCCCCGATCCCAGAAGGATCTTCGAAAGTGGTTGGGCTTGGCCAACTACCTTCACAAGTACAGCGCAGAGTACGCGGGCTACGCTAAGCCCTTGTCGAGCCTCCTTCAGAAGGACGTCGACTGGCGCTGGGAGCAGGAGCACCAGGATGGTTTTGACAGCATCAAGGCCAGTCTCCTAGAGGCCCCTGTCCTGGCCCTGCCAGACGAGACGAAGCCGTTTAGCGTCGTCTGCGATGCCTCCGATTACGCCATCGGATGTGCATTGCTGCAGGCCGACACGGCTGGACATGAGCGAGTCATCTCGTTCCAGTCCAGGCAGCTCAAAGCCGCCGAGCGGAGCTACCCGGTCCACGACAAGGCGCTCCTGGCAATGAAATATGCCCTTGTGAAGTTTCGTGTTCACCTTCTGGGCTCTAGGCCCTTTGTGATCTACACAGACCACGCGTCCTTGAGGACGGCGACTAACTCGCCTCACCTCTCCCAAAGGATGGCGAGGTGGCTGTCCTTCTTCGCGGAATACAACTTTTGCGTCGAATACAAGCCGGGCAAGCTCAACGTGCTTGCGGACGCCCTCTCTCGGCGTCCTGACTATGAGTTGGCCCACATCACGCGGGTGACAACGGATCTATATGATCGGATACGCATGGCGTATCGGGACGATGAGGCTGTCGCGCCTATCGTCAAATTCCTTATGGCAGAAACGAGCGCGAAGTCCGACTGGCTCTCGTCGCGACAGCGCTCACGGCTCCACCGATATGAGCTGAAGGATGGACTCCTCTATTACCGGGTGGAGCCCACTGATCCTCCACGGGTGGTCGTACCCAGCGACGAGGATCTGAAGTTCGGTATCCTCGCGGAGGCGCACGACGCGCCCTCCAGCGGCCACTTGGGCCGCGAGAAGACCTTTCTGTCGGTCTCTCAGTCCTTCTGGTGGACCCACATGTACAAGTGGGTCGCCCGGTACGTTAAGACATGCGAAACATGTCAGCGGGTCAAACCCGCAGGGCACTCTTCGGCTCCACTACAGAGCCTGCCCGTACCGGCTGACTGTTGGAAGTCGATGAGTCTTGACTTCATCTTTGGGCTTCCCGCCGACGGACACGGCAGCACCAGAATTTTGGTGCTCGTGTGTCGGCTGAGCAAGATGTACCCTCTTGCTCCGGTTCCCGTCACCGTCACAGGCGAACAAACCGCGAGGTTGTTCGTCGATGGCGTGTTCCGCTATCACGGTCTCCCGGAAACGAATGTTTCGGACCGAGACCCGCGGTTCACTGCTGCGTTTTGGAAAACGCTGTTCCCTATACTGGGAACTCGTCTGCAGATGTCCACTGCGGATCATCCGCAGACAGACGGCCAGACAGAGCGCGTCAATCGAGTGCTCGAGGACACTCTGCGCAGTGTGTGCGCGGCAGCACCACGTACGTGGTCGACGCAGCTTCCAGTTGTTGAGTTTGCGCTCAACAACGCGGTGCACGCGTTCACGGGGCTCACGCCGTTCTACTTGAACGGCTTCCGTCACCCCAGAGTGCCTCTCACTCTCCAAGGAGCCACTGACTCCTCTATTCTAAGTGGGGGAGAGGATCGGAAAGCCCTTTCCTCCCAGGTCTCGGATGTGAGACCAGTTTCGCTGCGGAAACAGGTGGAATCCTTTATGGATACCAAGCTGAGCGTTGTCAACAGGGTCCGCGATGCCATGGCAGCGGCCCAAGATAAACAAAAGGAGTACTTAGACAAACATGGAAGAGGAAACTTAAGTATATTTTAAGGTGGGGGACTTAGTGTTGCTAGACACGAGGAACCTACCTCTTGACACTGTCAGCTCTGTCGGCAGCAACAAGCTGAAGCACCGCTTCATCGGATCATTTGCAGTCCTGGCCAGACATGGTGCGTCGTACACCATCGACCTGCCAAAGTCAATGACGACGCACCCGACGTTCTATGTTGGACGTCTTAAGCGGTACTTTGACCCGCAGGGGGTTGCTGACTCGCAGACCCCCTTGATCCAGCTCCTCGAAGCGAGGGCCGGTCACAGACGTCGACGAGGGCGTCGGAGCAGGCACCCAAGCCTCGGTCGGAACGGCAAGGCTGCGGTCAAGGCCGTACGCCGGAGGGGCTCCGTATGAACGGACCCCGGCGCCATACGCCGATTACGTCGGGTAGCACCATACGCGTACGACTAGGCGTGCGCCGAATGCGGATCCAGACGTGGCAGCAGAGCCTCGATACGTCAGATCATGCGGAAGGTCTCGTCAAGATCGGACGAAGAGGCCCGCCGGGCCACCCGCAGATACAGTCTCGAGACCTCACGCTCCAGGCGGCCCGCAAGTCGATCGAGCTCGCCCTGATTCCCGGCCTGGGCGAAAGCATTTCCGCCAGTCCCAAGGACAAGTGCAATCTCAAGCACGAGGACGCGTTGACGAAGGCGGTCAACCTCAGGGTCCTGCGTCGGACCCGCAGGAGAACCACTCGGACGAGAGTAGCGTTCGGGAGGCGCCGAGTACTCGTACTCGTACGAGGGCACCTCCGCCCCTGCTTGACCGGAATGGAGAAGTCCACTACCACGTGGAGCGGATCCTCCAGGAGCAACGGCGTCGCGGTAAGCGACAGCTCCTCGTGAAGTGGAGGGGTTATGCGCACTCTGAGAACTTGTAGGAGCCGATTGAACGGCTTCTGATTGACTGCCGGAAGGCTGTCGCAATCTGGGAACAGAAGCGGCGGCTGCTTCATAAGTAGTCCGGGGGTTCTTGCCGGGTCTCGGGCTTCTTACGACAAGTCGTGAAGTCCTTGAAAGGGATGCGGTGTGGCGCGAGAAGCACACACCGAGCAGCCTCCAAGTTGTCAACGAACAACTGTTCTTTCTGAACAAGGGCACGTTCGTAGATGCCCCTAGAAGTGTGGCCGCCCACAAGGCCACGAGGAGCGACAAGAAGCTCTAAGAAGAGGTCAGCCCCAGAGCTCTCCTCGGGAGGCCAATACCCTCTTGAGTTAATGGCAGCTCCCTGGCTGACGGGTGCCACCACCGAACCCCCACGCACACGCTGGGCAGCTTGGAATTCCTCCTGCTGCTGGTCGAGGTCATTCAATACCTCCCATGGCTCAACGATAGCACCCTCCTCCTCTTCTTCCTCATTCTCCTCCTCTTCATCCGAGGAGTCGAAGATACTCTGATAGGAGTGTTAAGTCTCCTTCTATCGCGGAGTGGAGACTTAGAGGCTGTACGCCTCTTTGAGGGCTTGGCGCCTTCGGCTTTAGAGGCCTTAGCACGCGCAAGACCCTCGGCAAGCGAGAGACGTTTGCGAGGATTCTCTTCCTCATCGCCACCAGCTTTGGGAGTGCCCTTAGCCTTGACGGCCGGACTCTCAGAGCGCACAGAAGTCCTGGGACTGTGATCGCCTTGATCACTAGCGAGCGACTGCACGCTGTCATCCTTGTGCTCACTGGGCACTGGGCTGTGCCCTCCCACAGAGCCCGCAGGAGCATCGTGCGTGCTCTCGAACTAGGCTTCGTCCTCACTGCCAGAGTTGAACTCACGTTCCACGAACCGAGGGTTCGGACGATTGTCTGAGGCCGAGGGCGACGGACTGCGGCGCTTGCTTGCTCGCTTGCCCACATCCGCGTCACCCGAGGAACCGATCGCCTCGGAGGCCACCTGAGTAGCCTCCTTGAGTGCCGAGCCTTTGCCGTGAGGCTTAGTGCTCTTGGCTTGCGCCTTACCGGCAGCAGCCTTGGAGCGTGTCTTAGCACCGCACTTTGCTGTGCCACGAGGCATCGCAACGGTCGAATTGGAGACCTAGACGAAGGGCGCACAGGTTGCTGCTCGAGGCTCTAACTGTGAAGTGAGCCTCCGCCGCGCTCGCGCGGCCAAGTCGATGGTTTTCGACTTTGAGAATGAGAGTTTGTGTCGAACACCTCTTCATTCTGATTGGTCGGTAAACCGAACCTAAGTGGGGGAGGATGTAACGGGGTACGTAGCCCTAAGTGTACCCTGGTTGCATGAAGTGTGACACTTCACACTTCAGGTGTATGACACGTCATACTCCGGGATATTTGGTACAAGGTACCAAGGTCGTTCAAAGCCAACCATTGGTCAAACGACATTGCATTTCTATAGGTAACTTATAGTTTGTATTAAACCCAAACTTTATCTACCTATAAATATACTCAGTTTACAATCTACCTTATTTAGGTCACTCCGCTTTCTTTTGAATAAAGAGGGGACCTGTGAACTGCCGTTCACTGAGAGTTTGTATACTCTCTCAAGATAACTTCCTCTAGCGCAAGGTGTGTGACCCCGTCACATTCTGTCAGCTCCGACCTAGTTGAATGCGATACATGCGCTCGTGGGGTCCCTTCCAGCCATGTTTGTGCGCTATCAGAGGAAACACTTCGTATTGGAATATTTTATTCTGTTTGGGTAGTCTGTCGACGGCGGCGGTTCTTTCAAAAAACCGCCAAGGGAAATTTTGAGTAGAACCCACAATACTGTACAATACATCAAAACCTGAATTAGTTCTTAAGGTCTAACATGTCAATCACGAGAGTTTTCAAAAAGGTTACGGTACAATCCATCAAAACCTGAATTAATTCTTAAGGTTTAACATGTCAATCAACTTGACGAGTGCGGCGCTGGCTGAGCAGTTGGTGCCGGCCACGTATGTGCGGCAGGGTCTAGATGCGATTCGCTCGCGCGAAAAATTGCTGACCACGCTGTTGGCGCAGCGTTGCCTTCCGGACGAAGGCTGGGACGACACCAGCGTGGAGCTGCTGCTGCAGACGCTTGCGGCCATGGACAGCAATAACTTTCTGGGCAGCGCAGGCGCTGGTGAGCGCGAAGCCCGCGTTTTCTCCCCGCTAGTGGTGCGCCGTCATTTCCACTTGGCGCACGGTGTTGGTAGATCAGGAGACGTGGCGGCAGTGCAGCCTAAAGCCGCTGGGTCGTCGCTCGTAGTACAGGTGGCAAACGCTCTGGCTAAGGACGTGCTGCGTCTCGCGGGCATGCGGGCTGTACAGGCAGCGTTAGTGCTTCCTGTGGCCACTGGTATGTCGCTTATGCTGGTGCTACTGCAGTTGAAAGAGTCAAAGCCGAATGCACGCTACGTCATCTGGCCTCGCATCGACCAAAAGTCCTGCTTTAAGTCCATCCTGGCGGCTGGACTGACGCCGCTAGTACTGGCTAACACTCTAGTGGAGGAGAGAAATGGATATCCTGGCTGGTACTTGAAAACAGACTTGGTTGGGATGGCAGCGTTAATGGATCGTTACGGGAGTGATAGTATTTTGGCTGTGATGAGTACGACAAGTTGCTTTGCACCGAGGGCCTATGATAGCGTGAAGGCGATTGCTGAGCTTTGTGAAGAGAGAAAGATTGGTAAGAAGCAAGCGTTGTCCTAAATTGAGTTACTTGAACACTGACGATGTGACCCTGCTGGTATTTGAAGCACACGTGATCAATAATGCTTATGGTGTGCAGGCATCCAAGTGTGTGCACCAGATAGAATTAGCTATGAGAACTGGACGTGTGGACGCCGTGGTACAGAGTCTAGACAAAAATTTCATGGTTCCAGTTGGCGGCGCCATTGTGTGTTCGGCGTCACGTGACATTGTTGATCGCGTGGCAAAGTTTTACCCTGGTCGAGCTAGCGCCACGCCTACTCTTGACTTCTTCATTACCATGCTCCAAATGGTTAGTTACAAGACGCAAACCTCATAAACTGAAGTACTTACCTCATTTCATTACAGGGAAAGAGTGGATACCGACGATTACTTGAAGAACGCAAGCGTCTCGCAACTTACATGCGTGAGAGTCTCGACTCGCTTGCAAACGAGGAGGGTGAACGTGTACTGAATGTCTCCAGCAACGAGGTAACAAAAAAAAGCGAATGTGGGGGAATAATCCGCGGCGGTCTCTTTCTCACCGTGCAATTCCCCGTACAGATTTCCTTTGCGCTGACACTGGGGACGTTCTGCTCGGAAGTGCAGGATAAAGAAGAAAAGTCACGACGGCTGACGTTACTTGGTGCAATGCTTTTTTCGCGCGGGGTGTCTGGTGCACGGTATGTTGGCAATCATTGGATATGGATACAAAATTACTGGGGGGTTTTCCTGCATGCCAGGGTAGTGTCATGTCTCGACCACAAATCGATTGCTGGACATGAGTTTAACTCATTTGGAGCGCATTTTGACGGTTTTCCTGTGGCCTACGTCACTTTTGCTTGTGCGTTGGGCATGCGGCACGATGAAGTGGACGTACTCGTCATGAAACTACGGAAGACAATTTATGAATGGCGAGCGAAACAGAACGAGTAGCAAGCGGTCACAGCTCGTTACACGAGAGCAACAAGTAGATTGTCAATAAATCTGTTTCCTGACGTGATTTCTCTTTTTTTTCAATTGCTCTTGCTATTTACCGCCATTACCTAACTATGCCTAAATTACAATTATGACCAAAAAGCGGACACAATTAACTCGCGCCCTGATTGGGCAATACCGACCGACCTGCGACACTGACTGGATCTGTCGCACGATCAGACCGCCTCTCTCCCTCGCGATTGGACGTAAGGTAAACATTTCTGCCGAGCACGAAACGCATCGATTGGTTGCAAACAGCCAGCAGATACTTGATTATTGGGTTCAGCTACGCAAAACCTGTCGTATGTACTGCAAATCGGGCACAGTAACCACTTTATTTTCTAAGAGCTCTGCACCCTTCTAAAATAGAGATTTTTATTATTATTAATGTAGACTTCACAGACCAGTATTTTGTAAGAGCTCTGGGATGTTATTTTCCACACACTTTTCAAAGTAAAGACGATATTAATAGTATTAATATTATTAATATAAGCTTCACAGGCCGCATTTGTAAGAGCTCTGTGATGCTATTTTCCACACACTTTCTAAAGTAGTGACGATAGTATTTTTATAATATTAAAGCAGGCTTCACGACCAGCGCTTTTTGTAGAGACTTTGCGAATATATATCTTCTTTACTTCACCTGGCACTCACCACTGCCACCGTGCAATGAAGGCGCGCGGCTGCACGGTCATTGCGCTATCTGCTCCCGTGCACTACACCCGACGAATGCATGCGCGCACGATAGATAATTGTTTTAGTCAATTTATATTGCATGTAAAGTATGTATTTGTTTGGAAATATGATTATATTAATATGAAAGCAAAGCCAAATAGTAATAGTATAAAACATTTTAATATTTTGCCTAATGAATAAATTCCACCCTTACAGTACCGTGCTATTGGCTAATATTTGGACGCAAGTAATTGGTTAGAGCAATATATTTTGCTAACTTACTCACAGCTGTGGGCCCTACGTGCAAGCAATGCGAGGCGAAGATTGACCCGCTTTTGCTGGACCCGCAGTGGTCTACGACGGATTTCGGGCGCATTGCGTCTGCTGTGGGAAGCTGCAGTACGGCTACGCGTTCCGTACAATCAGCGGGTGGGACATCGTGCGGCGCTGTATTGCCTGCAAGAACGGCCCAAAAGCGGTTAAGTTCTGGGAGGAAAAGCCTCCACCACCTAATTCGGCCGAAGTGCGCCGCCAGGAAAGCCTGTAAAACGGCAAGAAGGCGATGGGTCCTGACTGGTACCTCAAGAAGAAAAATAGACACATCCGCCCTCGCAAGCTGACCGCCTGAAACGTCAGGTACATTGAGCAAAAGAAGCAGCAGAAGAGCAGGTGATTTGGATATACATCCTTACAGCCCCTTACCCCTCATAGTTTTGTATACTGGCTGACGGTGCAAGGCTTGGAGTCGCACATACTGTAAGCTGACTGTGGCGCTACCAAGCGTGTTGACGCACCTATAGAGCGTAGCGCGTTTCATATAATAACTAGCACGAGGTATGTACTGTGTGCCTCTGCAAACTGGCCGTCCATATCTGCATACGCGTCTGTGGTGAAGTGCTTTCTCAGAAATAAGAGAATGGTCCTGACGCGGGGTCACTATCCCGAATCAGTGACAATTTCAAGTGATTATAGAGGATTTGGGTTGTTTGGCACGGGTGCAAGTTGCCTGTGGTGGATTAGCCATGGCGAGCAGCACCCCGTATGGAATGACGATGGATCTGATATGAGCGATGTACGAGAAGGCAAGATCCACCAAGACTTACCTCGGATCCACCCTTACCTGGATTCACTAAGATGGATATGGGATATACTATACAAGAGTGGATCGAGTGCGGATCCTATGAAGGAATGATGGTAGGTGCCCACTGACGGTGGATCTAGTAGCCACGGCTAATGAAGAGTCAAGATCCACCGCGAGGTACCCCGGATCCCATACTTCCGAGTTCGTATCCAAGGAGGGAGGATCCCGCCTGGAGGGACCTGGATCCAGGGTATAGGGATGAGGGATACAGTGGATCTCGAACTTTCGTAGGACAACGGAGATCACAGACGATTGCAAGATGATGTTGGATGATTGGAGAGTTCGGATCCACGGCGAGTGTACCATTACAGTGAGGTGGATCCAAGCGACCTGGATCCGGATGAGTGTACCCATAATAGGGTGACCATGATGATTACGTCATATATCCGGTGGATCTGAAGATAACACAGCTGGGATGATGGGTCAAGGGAAGAAGGGACATGCAGCCGAGCCTGGTAAGGGATTTAGCAGATGAAAGACATAGAAGGTAGAAACCCAGGCAGGTATAGGCTTAAATATCAATACAGTCCTCAATTTGCACAGTATCACGCAAGTGCCTTCCTGCCCTCAAGAACCGGAACTACATTGGCCGTACGAGCTCCGAGAAGGTTGGGAATTGCGAATCTAGTGTTGGTAGTGATAACTGGATAATACATTGGCCAGATCCTACAACCTAGTGAGCTTTTCCTTTACTCGTGCAGATCCGACAGGTTAACCGAATTTACTACTTGGTCGGTTACACCCTAGAGGTTCTCAACTCTCAAGATCCCGTTACAGGAGGCGGCAAGTACGACTTAAAGGACAACACAAAGGCAAGGGAACACACCCGCAAGGCAACCCTACGGCTAGATCCACGATCTAGGCCCCGGATCCATAAGCTCGAATATTCGCTTAGGATACGGAACCATCACGGACGCAGAGTGAAGATTTTCCACTGCTGCTCACCCCATCCCCACGTCTCGCCAAGACACTCAAGCTTCACCACTTGAACTCTTCGGAAGTTACCGAGAGAGCAGATCCCGCCCTACCGACGGGTACACAAGGTGAGGAAAGTTCAGCAGAACACGGATCATCGGGGGACCCCCTCCGTTAGTCGGTGTCTGGGCGCAGTTGGTAAGTTGGATCTGGCAATCTCGCAGATTTTGCTGATCCCGCTACACCACAATGGTGCGCGTGCCCGGATCTTTTGGTGACTCGGGATTTCACCGTGAGTCCCAAGAAGATGCTCAAGTGAAGATTGAGCCAGGGGAAGAGGCGTCGTCGGAGGTCGGATCGACGAAGACGCTGCTGAATGAAACAAGATCCGCGGATCGATGGAGTTTTGGGAGGAACTCTGTCGACGGAAGAGAGGTGGATCCGGATCTAGAAGAGAAACCTCTCTATCCTCCCCAGGTCCCCTCGGGGACCCCTGCGGATCTTGACTTGCGTCAAGATCCGCTAACAAAACAAGGGAAAGTGAAGGCGAAACGGTATGCATTTGCAGATGCACCGGTTAAGCCAACACCGTACCTAAACCCAAGCCCGCTAGTCGAAGAAACAAGAAAGAAAACGAAAACGAGTAAGACTACGCGGAAGAAGATGCAAGCTCCAGAGTCGGAAGAAGACCAAGCTGGATCCAGGTCAAGCTGGTCCGACAAGGATCTCGAGTTTGTGTATCGCCACCAAGCTCTACGCGATTTCCTGCATCAAGATCCTGTCATGCAGATCCTGAATCCACGACAGATCGAAGATCCAAGGGAACCGGTGGGAGCACCAACGAAAACGGCGAACAAGTTGGTGGCAGTCAAAGATCTATTACGTCTGCTTACGGAGTCAGGCATCGTAGCTGGTGTGTTCGACGCAGAGGATATCTTCGAGCTAGACCTGGATCTCATAGTATTCGCGACGCGGGACCTCTTTGCCAGAGTTAAGTCCATCACCGGAGAAAGGTCGCGTACTATGGATCCAGTGTCGTCGCCGAGGATCAGCCAAGCTGCGTCCTCAAACTACGAATCCGCCGCTGAGGATGAGTCAGACACGTCGTCCGAACCACGACGCATGACTTTAGGAACCTCCGGGGCATCCATGCTGGAAGCGCGGGCGAGGATCCGAGGACAGGAAGCCCCTGTGAACGTGAAAGCTCGGGATCCAGTACGCCCTACGCGTGATTTGACGCAATCCAGCCAGGATCGAGCCAGATCCGGCAAGAAGCCAGTGGGATTATCGTCAGATCAGGCTCGAGGTAATCGCCTCACGGATCCAGTCCCGCCAGTGGACCAGACGGCAACAGGCTCTTCCGACACTTCCGCGGGCACCCTGCAACGGCACTTTGAAGCTGCGATGAATCGCTTCCTGGCCGAACAGGGTATGAGAGCGCCCGTGCCACAAGTGCAAGTGCTCCACGAACATGGAGCACGGGACGTGGAGATGGAGTCAGTAGAGGGGGACAACTCCCATGATGAGTTCGACCCAGACGATCTGGATGGCCCATCCACTTCGGCAGCCGTGGTAGCAACGGCCACAGCCGGGGCAGGTGGATCGTCCATGATCCAGAGGGTACGGATCTCAGCTATATCGGACTTGAAGGAGTTCACGGGCAAGGATCAAGATGAGGACCGAGCGAGAACATGGATCAGCAAAGTCAAGTCGGCCCTCATGAGAGATCAAGCGTCGGATGCTGAGAAGTGTCTGACCTTTGCGGATCTGCTAGCGGGGCCAGCCAGGAACTGGTATCGGCAGCTGGGCAGATCAACCAGGAACAAGTGGCCAGATTTGCTGCGCAGTTTCCAGACCCAGTACTGTGGATTAGGAGTGTCGGTGGCACGACAATACTACCATGCTCGCCGCAGATCGGATGAATCCCCGTTGGAATATCTACATCGACTAAATGTGGCCGGTCTACGGGCCAAGCTGAAGATCAAGGATGGGGGATCCAAGGTACTGCGGGAACACGTGGATCATTTCATCGAGACGTTGGGAGATGTGGATCTGGCCGACAGGCTGACCCTGCTACGACTTCCCGACGCAGACGAGCTTGAAGAAGTACTGCGGGCGGTGGATCGCGCGAAACACCGCCAGAAGAAGGCGGCGGTCGGGTCCGGCAAGTATCGCCAAAAGGCTCCGACGCCTACGGCCCCAGCTCGACGTGTCCACCAAGTCACGG